AACAGAATGCAATGTTTGTCCGAATCTTTAAGCTATTTTTAGAATCAGTGCGCTGGGCTATTGAACATGGATTTCTATTATGTGTTGTTTTTTTTTGTATATTTAGGGGAATTTAAATTATAGATTATGAGTAGGTTTGGGGGTGGGGTCGGGTGGGGTGGTTATATTCTAACATAGATTTCTACACTTACATAATATTTTTAGATCTACAATTTTATCTGTATTGTATTATTTAGATTTTAGTTTAGCACGTGCACGTTCTAACGAGACTTTATTGTAAGCTCCTGTGTGTCTACGTGAATAAATTACTTACTCACTTACTTGGAGTCGGAAAATATAATACGTGTAAATCTGAATTTCGGAGATTTCCTATATTTTTATGAACAAATGAACACGTCATGTAAAGATAAAATAGAAAACTGCTTAAAAGTAAAGGTGAGCAAGACATAAGCTTACTKGTACTTCTTTTACATGACAATGTTTGGTTATCCATGAAGAGTTTAGGTTTTTGTAAGAACCGTATTTTTACCGTAATGAAATTAAGAAAATAAATGATTAGGTAGCATCAGCGAGAGAAAATGGCTGGAGATCATAAACTAACTAAACTTGTGAAATGAAGGCCCTGGACATTAAACCAAATGTGTCATCAGTTCAAAATATTTTTCTGATCCTAATTCTTCATTTACAATATTTCATTGAAAACTGACTTGAAAACTGGTTAAGGTGAGCAGAAAATAAGCTTACTTAATTACGTCTTTTAAGTTACAGAACGAGACGAAGTTTACATTCAGTTAAACTTGACAAGAACAACTGAGACAAAATAGAAAATAATGCAAAAAAGCAATGCAAAATACAAAATGATGAATTTCTTTGTCAGTAAATTGGCGTTTGTTAATGTTTTTGAATATTTTTTAACTATTTAAAGTGAAAGTCTAGGTCTTTRTACAATAACATAACTCAACAACATAAATGTAAGCTCATATTTAGCTCGTGGATACACGAATCGTATAAACGAGTTATTATGAGGGGTCTGAATATGCAAGTGTGTTACTCGCTCGCTCACTGATTAAGATGTTAGCAGATCGATAATTAAACATTTATCGATCGTCTTACGTCAAATGATTACGAAAGTTACACGACTCTGACAAGCACTAAGCTGTTATTCAGCATAGACTACTTTCGCTATTTATATGAGGAAATGAACTGTTGATTTTTCATGTGGGATACTTTCTAGCACTGTGGACCCACTTTGCACATGCGCACACTCGCACTTATTTCATCTTCGGATTATTTATATCAAAAGAATCAAGGAAAGATGCGACTTGAAGTAAAATGATACAATAAACGCCTACAACTAAAATTCCAATTGCAATAAATAATTAGTAATTTACAGACTTGAATGAAGTCATAAGAAATAGCATTTCTAAACGAATTTCTTTAAAATATTCGCTTAGTTCACAGTGTAATTAAAGTGTTTCACGTGAATCTAAATCGATTGTAAGCGTCGTGAAGGTCAAATAAGTAGTAACGCATAACGCAACGTTTTTCCARTTCATCACAGAATTCGCTTCCAAACTCACCAAAATAACAAAGAACTATACAAAGTAGGTTTTAAAAGGAAATAAAAAGGACGACTAATCATCTCACCAGCTAAATTGAGCATTTAAAATATGAAATCGAGCTAAATACTCTTAAACCTTCGAATGTCAACAAGCATAAGGACACAGGGAGCCCAATCTCTGAAAAGTTCAACTAGTTTCCACGAGTTCACCAAGGGCGGTTTGATTATTATCATACTTGCTCGAACAGCTTAATAAACAGTTGAATATTTGAGTAAATTTATATTTCATTCCACAATTAAGTAAATCATCTGTCGAGAAAGATATGAAATTATTAAATAAAAGTCTTCTTTGGTTTGCCGATGGGACCCCGCTATATGAGGCGAACAAAGCTGCATTTTTCTTGAGCGAAAACATACGATAGTTGGTTAAAAACAACCGAAGGCGGAATTGTTAAAGATTTACAAAACTAAATAAAGGACGAGTATTTGTTGTCGTAATGTGCTTTCCGCCTTATAATTCCTCCAGCATTAAAAGAAATTAAGCCTATCTTCGTTTGCAATAGACGTCATAGCCGCCATGTTGGAAGAATTTGACAAAAGATTTTTCAATGAATTATTTTGTTATATCTTCCAACATGGCGGACATCCCTTTTGTTATTGCGCTCTCTTGGGATTGATTGCAAACCAAGGATAGAAATATTTTAATATTTTAAAAAAAGCTTTGAGAGCGGAAATTCTTTGATTTGTCGATGAAAATTCTAGTCAAAATAATAAATAATATATGATTATTTACTAAAAAACACTAACCTGACTTCTTGCAAAACACTTCTTGATCTATCTTTGATTATATGAAAGGTTTTTTAAAGTGTTGTTGGTCTATAGCTTGTCCTAAAACAATTTTTCTGTGCATTTGAGAGCCGCATTTTTGAGTAGTTTTTGATTGACATCAAGCGGACGGAAGTGACGTCATCCAAGCCATGAAAAAATCAACTGAATGGTTTACCATTTTTTTCTTAAGAGGATGGTGCTCCGCGCGAGAGCTCCGCTAAAGGGCCAATACATGCAAGTAAGCTTGGCAAGTTCCACCAACGTCTGGTGGCCCCACGTTTGGTGGCCTTTTGGTAGCCCCTGTCCCATTTTCTCCGCAGCAATACAAGCTGTGATTACGAAACTTGGCAGAAATGTAGTCACGTAACCTGTCAGTCACCCCCAATGATTTTGGGTGTATGACGCTACATTTCACATGACTTGTTAAGATAACATTATCGCTAGGTTTTAAAATATTTGTTATTTGACGTTATTCTTACTCAAGTCTTTTGGTACATAAAAATAAAAATAAAAAAAACATAGAAATGTTATATAACTTAATATTAACCCGATGTATGATTAATTAATAAATAACAACTATTTTAGAACGATTTATTTAGGGGGAAAAACTTCTATATTCCCTAATACTGGGATCAAATGGATTAACTTTTCCTTGTCTGTGCACGGTCAACGTCATATAACAATAGATAAAGTCGAACAAAAACTTAGAACAATAGGTTTCCCAACCATTGCTCTCCATCAACTATATTCAGACGTAAAACCAAAGACCAGCGCATATTTTGCATAAATAAAACTCGCATGGCAATACAGTGAAAATAAAAAACGCTTGGAGAAAAAATTATAAGTTATATAAGGTAGGTCGAAGGAAATAAAACAAAGATACGAATACTCCAGTGAACGATTACAGAATTCTAATGGAGTAAAAAGCCTAACACAACTTGAAGCAAAGAAAAGCACGTACAAGATATAACAACGAAGTATATTTTAAGCTCAAAACATAAAATGGTGAACAAGTACAGAAAGCTTATGGAGAACAATAAATAAATATTAAATAAAACAAATAGACTTTATTAAACGAGGGTGAAATACATTACTGGTGACCCAGTAGTTTTCATTATGGCCCTCCTACAGTGAATAAACTGAAATGAAATAAGAATCCCAACTGGCAACTTGAAGCAACCAAAGACACGTACAAGACATAAAGACGAATCTTATTTTATATTTAAAACATAAAATTGTAATAATACCGTTAAATAAAAAAATATAATGACAACAGTGAACAAGTACACAAATCTTATGGAGTAAAAACCCGAAAGAACTTGAAGCGACCAAAGACACGTACAAGACATAAAGCTGAATCTTATTTTATATTTAAAACATAAAATTGTAATAATACCGTTAAATAAAATAATAAAATGACAACAGTGAACAAGGACACAAATCTTATGGAGTAAAAACCCGAAAGAACTTGAAGCGACCATGAGACACGTACAAGACATGATTTTGATAATAATACCRTGGAATAAAAAATATATTAGAATAGCAACACAAAACTTTACCCATTCGCCGACACTAATTGCAGGTTTCACAAAGGTTTCCTAACTCATACTCGTTGTTCAGCCAGAGGTTTGGTAAAACCGGAGCTAGAAAACGCACGTCCTTTCCGTAGCCGGCTTGAAGTGGAATGACTGATATGCTAATGGTTCTTTTGTCTTGTTCTCGGTATAGAAACACTCTTTTCTTACACCTCTTTCTCTTTTACTCCGACGAAGGACTAGCGTCCGAAACGTCAGTAAGTATTTTCAACTTTTCAAGGTGTATAATTTATTTTTTCATCTTTACTGTTTCATTAGAAACACCGACGCAGCTCACACTAGTTTTTAGCTAGTTATCTCTCCTGATATGTTAATCAGTTCTCATGCATAAATACCAGCGAGACCAGCTAGAATAAGTTTTGTGAAATTGACGTTCCGTACATTAGTCCTTCGTCGGAGTAAGAGGGCAAGGACGACGAAGGACTAACGCCCGAAACGTCAGTTTAGCAAAGCTTCTTACGGTGATTCACTTTATCCATACGTTCCTACTGCAATACAAAAAAACCCTAACCGAGAATACGATACATCCTGCAACACCAAGTAAGACCAATAATCTAGATAAGAAATCATTGGTTCTCACAGTGTTATGAGTCACATCATAAGACCTTACAATTTAGCCTACTTGTCACTCTTATTTAAGATCGATTTCTCGGTTTCAGTATTAATTTTTAATGGTAATGCATTGGGTTACTCCTCAGCCCAACCACCGACCTGGGTGATCAGGAACTGTTATTTTTCCTCTTCCCTGAAACCATTTTGGCTCTAGATGATTATCACCACTACTCAAAGCTACATGGTCGCTGCAGCTTATGCTAACGTGTAAAGTAAACCATACGTGCATTTGTTCCTTTTGCATTCTTTCTGTACAACTTTAGTGGTACTTTGATTTGGCTTGTTTTGTTCTTTCTTTTGCCTTTCTTTCAACTTTCTTTCTTCCCCGAAACCATTCTGGTTCTAGATGATTATCACCACTACTCAAAGCTGCATGGTCGCTATAGCATATGCTAACGTCTAACGTAAACGACATACGTTCTTCTGAATTCTTTCTGTACAACTTTAGTGGTACTTTGTTTTTGCTTCTTTTGTTCTTTCTTTTGCCTTTCTTTCAACTTTTCGTGTCATTCTCTTTTATGATTCTTTGTCTTCATCTTTTGAGATTCGTCGTCATTAAGGAGTCGAACAGATATTTAAACAAACTGCCTGATAATAGGTGTTTTGGATTCAGGGATTCTTTTCCGCAGTAATCTATAAAACAAACAAACAAAAAACAATGTTATTGGGGCAGGTGTTTGGAACAACATCTGAGATGATTCAAGTCACGGCACGGCTAACTAACAAATTGAACTAGCTTAGAAGTTGCAATTATATTAGGGTAGCATCTGTGAATTAGCTGTACTGCCTGACTTAGATAATCCCGGAAGTCATTTCAGGGTTCAATCTGTGAGCTAGCCGTGTCCTGACTTAGATCAGCCAAGAGGTTGTTTCAGGGTTCAATCTGTGAATTGCAGCCATGTCCTGACTTAGATCAGCCCAGAGGTTGTTTCAGGGTTCTATCTGTGAGTTAGCCATGCCTTGACTTAGATCAGCCCAGAGGTTGTTTCAGGGTTCAATCTGTGAATTGCAGCCATGCCCTGACTTAGATCAGCCCAGAGGTTGTTTCAGGGTTCA